AATAGGTAATTTTTTGTTGTAAACGGTGAGCAGTTTTATTTGTTTGTTAATTAAATTTGAAGCTTGATACATAGAATGGTTAGACAGTGTCATAGATGCAACGCGCATGAAATTGAGCAAACTTCAGAGGACAGCGGAAGACAGGAGGGCCTGGCGGGAGCTGGTCCATGGGGTCGCGAAGAGTCGGACTCGACTGTGCGACTGAACAACAAAAAACAGAACAAGGTGATCAATATATTAAATACATATTGAATAGAGAGCTACATAGAATTACATCAGAATGATCACATTTTTCCAGACATTATAAGCATCCTGATATTTCTGAAGAACCATGAGCTTAAGCAAAATATATAGAGATCTTTAACATTACCCAACCATTTTCCTTCTTAGGATTTTTTTTTTTTGCCTCCAAGGGAGTTTTGATTATTGTTTAATGCAAGTTTTGATTGTCACAGCACCAGAGTGTACTGGTTTTTGTGAGCCATGATTGACAGCAGGAAAGTCTCTTTAATAACAAAATATTTATGTGCCACCCTGAACTTCTTAGGAAGGGGAGGGAAAACGGAAACAAACAGATGTAGGTGCTCGTGAGCATACACCCCTGAATGGCAACCAGATCCAGGGAGTGCCAACTAGGGGTGTGCATTTAGTTTACCCAAACAACACCCCCTCCAATACCTTACTAGTATTTTTCAGGGGGGGGGGTTAGCTGAAAAGAAAATAGTGTTTCTTTAAATGTGGTCTCTTTAAATGCCTTCTGAGTTCACTCGCCGAGTCACGCAGCAGTGGCGCGGCTTGGAGAAGGCATTTTAAAAGGTCGCAGTCTCTTTTAGTGCTGTTCACTCACTGAGTCATGCTGTAGCTGTTGCGGTGTAACTTGGCGAGTGAACTCAGAAGGCAGTTAAAGAGACAGTCTCTTTAAATGCCTTCTGACGGCAGTGTCACGGCTCAGAAAGCATTTAAAGAGACCCTAGGCAGCACAACTTGATGTGTGAATGCAGACGGCATTTAAAGAGACTGTTTTATCTTTTCTCCTTCATTGGAAGTAATGAAGGATGGAGGCACCTTCTTTGGGGGCCCATAGAATTGAACCCTCTCGTCCAATCTTTTAAAAATTGGGGCAAGAGATTAGGAGACGCACCAGCAGCTATTCTGCAAATTTGGTGCTTCTTCCTAAAAAACAAAACAGCTCCTCTGGAGCCCCAAATAACATATAATGGAGCAAAAAAAAAATGCGGGTTTCCTGAATATTTCCCGAATCTGAATGCCATACTGGTATTGGGATTTGGGAATAGTGGGAAATACTGGTATTTTTCGGGTTCAGTATACGAGAACCCAAAAAATACTGGGTGTTGTTTTTTTTACACACCCCTAGTGTTGAGATGTTATGGCCTAAGGCTACATCAATAAATCATTTACATTACAGTATTTTTTTTGCACACCCTTAGTGCCAGCTACAGGGCCATGGGGGCTTCAGAGGTTAAGATGCTGAGCTGCAGACTGGAAGATCTGTAGTTTGGCAGTTTGAGACCCAAGTGCCATGTGACAGAAGGAGCTCCCGTCTCTGGCTCCAGCTCCTGCCACCTAGCAGTTTGAAAGCAAGAAACTGCAGGTAGATAAATATTTACCGCTTCGGTGGGAAGGTAACAGTGTTCCGTGCGCCTCAGTGTTTAGTCATGTTGGCCACATGACCATGGAACCGTCTTTGGACAGTGCTGGCTCTTCGGCTTGGAAATGGAGATGAGCACCGCCCCCTAGAGTCGGATTCTAGCAAGGGAAACCTTTAGTGCCAACTGTCCTAGAAAACTTGGTCCAAAATAAGTCTGCTCTTGCATAGGTACCATGTGAAGCACGAGCAGGGGAAATGTGTTTTCCATGCTGTTGGTGATCACACTAGTTCTATCCTTTCCTCTGCTTTTTAAAAAAAAGCCTAACCTTTTTAAATTAAGTTTTAAGGCAGATAGAGGAATAATCAAGGGATTGTCAGTTCCAATGAGTCCTCCTAACTTTCATCCGTCGAAGTCTGTAACCAGCTCCGCAATATCTAATTAACCGGTGCAGAGTCAACAATGTTGTTCTACTGGGAAATCGATGGATAACATTCCTCCCAGTGGAGGAAAGATGGCTCTAGGTAGAAAGTAGAGAGGAAGGGATGTTTTTCTGGCACTTCGGCACACTTTCCTGCACGGAGCTCTCTTGTGAGATCTGGTGCTCCACAGACAAGTTGATACAAGGGCTTCTGCTTAGTCTGGTCCCCCTGGGTGATTCAGCACCAACTTTGCACTTCTGTGTTGCCAGGACATTTCTGATTTGGTGTTAAAAGGCTGTTGTGGAGGTGTTAAGGCTTACTCTGATATGCGGCAAGACGTGGACAGAGAGACCCTGGAGATCCCTGGTTCCTTAATGTGCGAGAGCCATGGTGGTATAGCAGTTACGAGTGCCAGGCTAAGATCTGGGAGAGCCAGGCTGCAGACCCCACTCTGCCACAAAAGCTTGTGGGATGACCTTGGCCAGTCACTCACTGTCAGCCTAACTTACCTCACAGGATTGTTGTGAGGATAAAATGGAGGAGAATAATGTAAGCTACATTGGGTCCCTATTGGGATAAAGAAGGTAGAGAAAGAAGTACTTTTCTCCCTTTTTCACAATACAAGAACTTGTGGGCACTCAATGAAATTAATGCGCAGTAGGCTTAGAACAGATAAAAGGAAGTTCTTCTCCACCCAAAGAGTAATTAATACATGGAATTCCCTGCCGCAGGAAGTGGTTGCGGCTATAGGCATAGATAGCACCAAGAGGGGACTGGATAAAATATGGAATAGAGGTCCATCAGTGGCTGTTAGCCACAAGGTATTGATGGAACACAATGTCTGGGGCAGTGATGCTCTGTATTCTTGGTGCTTGGGGGGGCAACTGTGGGAGGGCTTCTGGAGTTCTGGCCCTGCTGGCAAACCTCTTGATGGCACCTGAGTTTTAGCCAGTGTTGTGACACAGAGTGTTGAACTGGGTGGGCCACTGGTCTGATCCAACATGGTTTCTCCTATATTCTTATGAGAAAGAAAAATAATAAAGTGCTATCGAGTCACAGCCGACTCACGGTGACCCCATGCGCAATGTGGTCCAGGCAAGAGATGAGGCAACGTTAGAAGAAACAAAAAAAGTCTTCACCCGCTGGCAATGTTCCCTCTAAGCTGTGGAGTCTTGTGAGCAAAAAATCTACTTTGTGAGCTACTGGCATTAAAGTTGTGAGCAAACAATTTGGCTACTGTATAAATCAGTTTGCTCTGGAGCCATCCCTCCTGAGCTGAGACAAAAATCTGCGAGTCAGAGGCTAAAAAACTGTGAGCTAGCTCACACTAACTCAGCTTAGAGGGAACACTGCCCACTGGTGCAAGACAATGATAGAGGAAGACGAGACAAATTTCCCTAAGGGAGGAGTTCCAGAGCTCCAGTGCAGCAACTGAGAAGGCCCTTTCTTGGGTTCCAACCCTCCTAGCCTCAGATGGTGGGCCACCCAAATCAGTCTCCAAAGATGATTGTAGTGATCAGGTCGGTTCATATGGGAGTAGGTGGACTTCAGGTATGCTGGCCCCAGATTTATTGTTTGTTTATTTATTGTTTCCATTTATACCCCGGCCTCCCCATGAGCAGGCTCAGGGCGGCATACAGTACCATAAAACCATATACAAAGATTAAAACATTTAAACATAAACATTAAGCATTAAAACGTTAAAACAATCCGATAGTATAGTATAGGTAGGGCTTTAAAGGTCAATACCGGGATCTTCTGGAGATAGATAAATTCCAGCTATTTACCTTTTTATTTAGGTTACTTATAAGCCACGGGTGTGTGGGTGTGCCAGTACCATTAGGTTTCCTAGTTCCTGCATCCTTCTCTCCTCCAAATAAAGTACCAGCCCTGGATTCCCTCCAGTGCACGGGAGCAGGAAGTACATCAGGAAATACCATTTGGAAATTGTAACCCTCAACCCAGGAGGATGCTAGGCTGACCACCTCCCAAAATTGGGGACCCCTGGCACATGTTAGTGGTTGTGACCATGGAACTGGAGACTTTTATCAGGGGGAACTCTTTGCTCAGCCATGAAGCTTGCTGATCTTGGACAATCTAATTTGCCACAGAGGGTGGCTGAAAACATTAAATTGAGGACAAAGTAATAAGAAAGGCCATGCAATCTAACCCTACGTTTCTTGGACAAAGGTGTGGTATATAAAGGTAATTAACAGGCAGTCATGGTGGGATGAATCTACTCCAAAAAAAGACTCTGCTCGGCCGTGAACTTCTTGTGGTCATTGAGGTGGCTTAAAGTGATGAGTGAGTTCAATGAGGACTAGCGTAGTATAATATAATGTCTAACAGAAGGTGCAATCCTATGCAGTTATTCCACTCTAAGCCTGTTACGAATTGTAAACTGGTTTAAACTGCCCCTCTCCCATGGAGAGGCAAGTAGCTCTCCTTTTTGCTCCCTCCCTCCCATGTGCAATATGGGGCTGACAATTCTGACATACCTTGTCCTTACAACAGCCCATGGAACATTCTAGAGCACAGTAATGATGCTAAGCCTGATCATATGCCTGTATCTGGGTCTATTCACTTGCTCAGTTACCCTAGGACACCTTTGAACTCATGGCAGCTTCTGATCTTCCCAGTATGTTCAGGTAGCCAACATAATGAAATGAGACTGTCAACAAAGTTGTGGGTTCTTCTTTAACCCTTTTTTATCTTGGAGTTTGAGATTATGTGAATGCACAAAGGATTACCATCTTGAATAGGTGGACATGATAGTTCCACACCAAAAGAGTCAGTTACAGTCCCAAAAGCGATAGTTCCACACCCATTAAAGAGTCAAGAGGGTGGGGCTGGAAAGCTGTTGTCCAGGTCGGTGAATATTATTATCAGCTTTGGGTGAGCACCCTTAATTTTTGCAGCCTTTGCCCTTCCTTCATGTAAATGTACCTTCCTCTTCTGCCTCCCCCATCAGATTTACCGTCGTTGCTGGCTGGTGTTTCGGAAATCTTCCAGCAAAGGCCCCCAGCGGCTGGAGAAGTATCCGGATGAGAAGTCCGTGTGTTTACGTGGCTGCCCAAAGGTAAGACTCTCTTCAGAATGTCATAACTCTTCCAACCTTGGCCTGGAGGGATTGTAATGGGGGAAGCTGTCCCAGTTCTCCCCCCCCCCCAGCTAGTATTGTATGCTCACCTCCTTCCCAGCGAGGGGTCCCTTTAGGGAGAGGCAGGAGTGGGCAACCTCCTACACGTAGCTGACTCGCAGTTGGCCTAGTTCAGCGATGTTCGGCAATGTTTTCTACTTTGATGGCGTTCTCATTATCGCTAAATGCCTCTCCAGGGCACCGTTGGGGTCCATGTGACACTTCGTGCAGGAAAAATGCTGCCCAAGGGAGCCCCAGTGGCAAAAAATAGCATGTTTATATTGGAAGTAGAATGGCCTCTCTTTCCCAGCCTTTTGCTGGTCATCTCTTCTCACCTGGCCTCCCAAGTCCTGGCTCCCCCCTGCATCTAAGTTGCTTCTAATGCAAGAAATTTCCTCCACCAATCTGTAAACTCACAGATGCTTGCTTTTAGGCTTGTGAAGAAAGAACATGACCTGCAGTAGAGGGAGGCAAGGTTGATGGGGCCATGGCTCAGTGGTAGAGTGGCTGCTTGGCATGTAGAAGGTCCCAGGTTCAACCCCCGGCATCCCCAATTAATGCAGTCAGGTTAAAGATGAGGTGGAAGCCTCTACATGAGACCCTCAAGAGCTGCTGCCAGTCAGGGTAGACAGTGCTGACCCTGGTAGGCCAGTGGTCTAACTTCATATAAAGCAAATGCTTCTTTAAGAGACCATAATTTAGTAGTGAGCAGGCTGAGTAGCCCTGACTAGTCAGACCTCATCAGAGCTTGGAAGCTAAGTGGGGTCAGCCATGGTCAGTTCTTGGATGGGAGAGCACCAAGGAAGACTATGGTGGCTGGGAAGAGGCAGGCAATGGCAAACTCTTGCCATGAAAATCCCCTGGTCCTGGGGTCACTGAGTCAGTTGTGACTTTAAAAGGTAAAGGTTCCCTTGCTTGAAAGCCAGTCGAGACCGACTCTAGGGTTGCGGTGCTCATCTCCATTTCAAAGCCGAAGAGCCAGCACTGTCCGAAGACGTTTCCGTGGTCATGTGGCCGGCATGACTAAACACCAAGGCGCACGGAACGCT